CAACCATGACATAATCATGGAGTCCTCTTCGTCCCAAGCATCAAAATTTGGCTCGCCCAATTTTGGCCCTATTCCAAGAAGGTGACTAATTTTTCATTTTCCCTTCTAATAGGTACGCACTAGTTGAGACCACTTCAAATAGTTCTGGCCATTCAGTCTATATGTTGCTTGAATATTCTGCAAATCACCGGTGTGAGGATGAAAATTCGTTGCTCCTTCATCAGTTTGGACGGGAGCACTTGTTGCAGTCATGTCGGACATTGTCAATGGAGGAAGAATAAGGCTAGCGGGAAAGGAGTATAAAGAAGGGGGAAAAGAAACACTGCTGGTTACAGATCAGCACTGAAGGCCAGAAAAACACGAAAAAAACTAGCAATGAAGGCCGAAAAAAAATTCTCAAGGTTGGCAAACCTAGAGCTCTGATACCATGTTTTGCAATGGTAAAAAACTGATCTGCTTTCATTCCATTGCCAATCGACATATTTATACAGTAAGCTGCTGCAATAAATAGAAAACATCTTCCTAAATCAATTCCTATAATTAAGGGACTAACTATTTTAATCCCCATATTTAAGGGATTATACTTTTCCACAATCCTAGGAATATATATTCACACAATTCTATTTTTACACAACTAGCAAATATAGGTGCATTCTATTTTTACACAACTACCAAATATAGATACTAACTACCAAAAAATGTATCTACACCAGTAACCCCACGTTTTCCAACAGTAATTTTGTTTTTCGGAGTGGTTCTTGTGGTGTGAGATTTGACAATTTGGAGTTGGGTGAAGGGTGTTTATTTCTTCTCTCGGGTGACTTCATGTCACCTTTCTTGTGCCGTCTTTTTTATTTTTATCAAATATTTATTTTACTATAAAAATGTTTACTAGCGTTTAAGGTTCACTTATGATGCACTTTTCTTCTTTCAGTTGAATCATATGTAAAATCACTTGGTCAGCCAAATTTGCTTGACCTGCTTGTGCATCCTACCTCTGAAGATGTGGGAATGGAGGAAGTTGAGGATCTGAGGCCTTCGAAAAGAAAGGTCATTTATAGTGAGGTATTTTTGGCTTCATGTTTATGTCCATTTTAACAAGAGTATGAAGTTCCCATGTTTGGTTAACAATGAGTTGTTTTGTAAATATTAGATGGCTTTACAAATTCTTCTTGGTTCTTCACTCTGTTTTACAGCACAAGCCCATGTCAGAGATTACTTCTGGTTTGCATCGTGGAATCTACCATCAAGGAAAACTTCGTGTTAATCGTTATAATCCATTTGAAGCATATGTTGGAAGTGAGAGTATTGGTGATGAAATAATTATTTATGGTCGGGGTAACATGAATAGGGCATTTGATGGTGATATAGTGGCAGTGGAGCTCTTGCCCCGTGATCAATGGCAAGAGGGGAAGTCTCTATCTATAGCAGATGATGGTATGTTACTGTATCTATAGATTTTACTTGGAATTAAATTATCTGTACGCATGTGTGTAGACACACTCATATATGTTCATATGTGTAAATAAATACTTTTGTATGTTATGAAGACAACCCTTAAAGCCAGCATTATAGAGAGTTTCCTCTTTCTTTTGTAGAAAAAATGGTTTAGTTGGTCTTGATAGTTTGAAGGGAGAATGGCTCTACTGTTGTGTATTTTCTTCTAAGATTGACCTTTCTTCTTAAAAGTGGGGCAACTATTACCACATAGTGGAGTTAGGGTTGTAATTGGATGAAGTATAGGGGAAGTATCCTTTTGTAAGCATGATTTAGGTTTGCAGAGCAGTATTACCTGCTTAATCTGTGTATGTTTTGTCTGACGTAATATTATAGAATATCTTCTTCCCCTCTATTCTCCTTTGGATAAACTTTCCCCCCTTTTCTTTCAGAGGATGAGGAAGAAGAAGATGTACACTTGGTCCCAAGTAGTGCTGATGATGCTCCCAGAAATGCAAATGTAGTACAAAGTTCTGCAGGAGATGTGAATCCCATTTCATGTCGTCCATGTGGGCGTGTTGTTGGTGTTATCAAGCGAAACTGGCACTCGTAAGTTTACTTGAATTGTTGGTGTCTAATGAAATACATACATGACAGATTGATAAAGTACATAAATTGTGATTCTGACATGCATTTTTTTGTTTCCATTAAGTTATATGCCTTAATGTAATATCACCTTTCATGGGTAAGTCACCTTTCCCAAAATGGACTGTCTAATGTACTTTATTTTTGTGGTTGTTTTACCAGAAATTTCTATCGTATGCCCTTGTGTGATTCCTATTGAAGCAAATATTTTGGGGACAAGGTCCCTCTCAACTCTAATAACCGTCAATCTTAATGGCTTTGAAACCCTAGATAAACTAGCAAAGAAAAGTGCCTTGGTACTCCTTTCTATCTGAAGACTTTAAGATATTACACTATTACAGGTGTTATCCTCCAAAAAACCTGACCCCTAACGGATAATGTTCTGCTGTAGTGGATCTTTCTAAGACATTGCTTTTGGGTTAGTGCTGTGGATAGGCAAAGGGGTGCCATTGACATTCTCTGTAGTTATGACAGAGTGCATGTTGAAGGGAATTTTCAGGTAGTGATTGGTTTGATTGAGAGATGGAGGGGATGGTTTTTAGTATTTGATTCTGCACTTTATTAGATAGATCATGTCTTTGGTTACAAGAGTGAATATCTTGCTCCAATAGGCCTGAAAATAAGCTAATTCCCTAGCCAAATTCTTGGCTAGGGAATTACTGTACCAGGGGTTACTGTTATTGATATGTTTACTGGGTTTGTACCCAAAAAATGAATATCATGGACCTACTTTTGGCTAGGGGATTACTGNATTACTGTACCAGGGGTTACTGTTATTGATATGTTTACTGGGTTTGTACCCAAAAAATGAATATCATGGACCTACTTTTGGCTAGGGGATTACTGTACCAGGGGTTACTGTTATTGATTTCTTACTGGGTTTCTACTGCAAAAGTGAATATTGTGTACTTTATTTTTCATAGCTCATGCTCCTTTTGCCATTTTCTTTTTCTAGATGGTGTCGTCATGCTGCATGTTTATTTTCATTTTACACATGATAATTCATGCAAATGCTTAGAGTTAAAAGTTATGGATGCCGTTTATTTTCAAATTTCTTGTAGTATGTACTGGGAAGTATTTATGATGTTATCAAAATGTTCAGCAGAAATATCATATTTGTTGATTGTATACTTTTTTGGGTATAAGTGGGTGTTACAAAGTAATGTTGCTTTGTTGTTCAAGCATGGCCAATCAAAAGTGTAGTGTTAATGTGAGCAATTTTCTTTTTATGAAGACATGGTAGGTTGTGCTTTAAGGTTAGCTGCCACCGACCACCATCTCCGTCGAGTTAAGATCGGTTGCTGGCCGGTCGTCCTTCCTCTGTTTATCCTCTCTTCTTCCTTTTGTTCCTCTTCTTTTTCCCCTCTTCTCTCTTCTTCCACCCCTTCTTTCTCTTCCTCTTCCTCTTCCTCTTCCTCCTCCCCTCTGTCACTTCCACAGCTGTTAATACCACTGGCGGTCAGTATTAGCAGATCCTCTTCTTCCTCCTCTCTCCTTTCTTCTTTCTTCCCCTCTTCTTCCAAATCTCTGTCCAGCTGAACAGAGCCTGGAATCTGCTCTCTTTCAAGTCTTCCACTGCCACTGTGACAGCAGCCGAACAGAGGTTCTTCCAAACCTCTGCCATTGCCATTGTGAATAGGGGCGAAACTGAAAATTTTGACCGATTCTAATTTTCGCTTACAGTTGAACCAAATAGCAACAGTTGGAATCCGATTCTGAATCTTGTCTGAACCAAACATGCATCGGGAATAGGTGTCCGGTTCTGATTCCTGGGGTTTCTGATTCTGATCCTGACCGTGAACCAAGCAGACCAACTGATGTTTTTCTAAATTGTGTTGGCTTGTGTGAGTGCCTGTATGTGTTATATATGCTTCCTAACTGTTTCGACTGGTGCTACAGTAGTCCGAACCAGAAAGAGAAGAAGAAGAAGAAGAAGAAGAAGAAGAAGAGAAGAAGAAGAAGGGTCTGTTGAAATCTGATGGGTTACCCATACAGTCGACCCCCTTAATCTATATTAGACTCTAATAATCTTTACAAAGACAAAAATGCCCTTACTTAAGTGTGGGGCAGAGTAACTTTAATAACACTGCCACATAAGCAAGCTACTTAACAAACATAAGAAGATTAAACTACCCCTATTCGGCACACTTTAACACTCCCCCTCAAGCTGGAGAATATATGTCATATAATCCCAGCTTGTTGCATAGATAGTTCACTTTCCCTGAGCTTAGAGCTTTTGT